TCGACCCACGTTGTTGCGCGCTGGGCCCGTGCGTGTTTGGGGGCGACTGGGAAGACCCGAGCTTCTCAGCTTTAATGATAATTTCCCCCGACGTTCCTGGGCTTTCGGTCCAGGTCGTAGTGCTGAAGATGCCGTGTGACACCAGGCTACCAGGGCCGAGGTGGCGGCGCATTCTGGCAAGCATGCGGTGGGGGTGATTTGGGATGGGACCAAATACTACGAGAATTTCGATTTGGATTTGTTGAAGACCCGCGCTTTGGCCCACGGTTTTAACCCTGTGATTGCCAAAACGACGTGCCATTTCTGGCGGGGACCCAGGCTTTTGAGACTGGGTGCGCAGTACGCCGACTCCCCCGTCTTTGCCCAGTCGGGATTGCCAGCGGGTGACATATTCAATGATTTGTTTGTCAAGGTTTACAGCATTGAGGCTTTCGATCAGTTCACTTTGGAGCACCCGCTGGTCCCCCTGAGCAGCTATGTTGACGACGACTCCCTTACTACGGAAGGTGAGTCCGAGACCGAGGTTCTCGACCGAATGTGCAGGGCTGCAGCGGCCATGTACATTATCTTTCGCGATTATTTGAAGGTGCAGTTGCAGGCGGACAAGCTTACCACGTTCGCTAGCTCGTTGCCCCTTGCACGTAAGCTCGGCAGGCTGCTCGGCGGCATGGCGGGCACTGTCACCAATAGCGCGGTGGTGCTGGGCACGGACCTGGCCGCAGGACAGCGACGGGGGGCCAAACACGCGGCGCGGAAACGTCGGCAGCGTCTCAGGCAGATGCACGCTCGTCACAAGATTTTGAAAAAAGGTACCGTGATCGCTTGCCTCGCCAGAAGGGGCGGATTGGCAAGATTTAGGTTGCGGGTGTTTCCCCTGCTGCTACGTTTGGTGCTGCCGTCGGAGGGTTAAACGACACTGAGCTTCAGGAAGCTCAAAGAGTCATGTTGACCTACAAACCTCCTTATCACCGCGGGGTGTCGTTTCACGCCAAGTTAGCGCTCTTGGGGGACCCTGTCTGGAGGGCGGGAGTTGCGCCAGCGTTGCACTGGGCGCACATCGTTTGGACTGCCCTCACCTCCCCCGCCTCCTCTTACTACAACATTAAGGAAATATGTCAGATGTGGTGTGCTGTCCCCATGGATGAAGGGGTCACTTGGAAGAGTTCGCGAGGGCCCATCCAGAGAATGCATTTGTCGTTGAATCGTATTGGGTGGCGTAGCGTTTCTGCTCTCACGTGGCTCGACGACGCTGATAGAGTCGTGCATCTTGGGTATAATTCGCCTGCCCTTTTAGGTCAGTTGCTGCAGCTCGGCACTCAACGACACCATGGGAGAGTTTTGGCTAGGCTCCTGCCACCCTTCAATGGGACGCGTGTTTGCACGGGACCCTTGGCCCGATTGCTGTGCCCTGAGTCCAAAAAGTTGGCCCCGAGGGAAAAATACCTTGTCACCATTGCGTTTTGTGAAGGACTCTGGACCAGAGCCAGAGCCCGAGCTGCAGGCTATCTCTGCGATGGCAGGTGCCCACTCTGTGGCGAGCCTGACGGAGTCAGGCACCGCGTCTGGAAATGTCAGCATCACGAGGCTTTCCAGGCTCGGCAAGATGCGGCTGTTGATCATCCCGAATGGTTGCTGGAGGCGACCGAGAGCGCGGATCACTGCTTCTGGGACGAGCTCAAGTTGGACCATCCAGGGTCGAAGCTCCCTCCGCCCAGCTCCGACCCCAACCCAAAGCTGTTCAACCCCGAGGGGCAGGAAATTGTTTGGGACTCCATTGACCTCCAGGGCCTGGACATTTGTATGGACGGTTCTTGTGCTCGTCATGTTGTGAGGGATTTGTCTCGGGCCGCCTTCGCTTGGGTCTTTTTGGGCCCGTCAGGGTCGATTGTTGCTTATGCTCAAGGAACGGTGCTGGACGTGCTCCAGCAGACCCCGCAGGCGGCTGAGCACCAAGCCATGGGGCTGGTGCCTTTGTTTGTTGAACACAGCGGGGATCGTTATTCTGATTGTGCCACCGTCACTAAGTTGTGTAACACGCCAGTGCGGCATCATATTTCGAGAAAACACCGCTACGCGGGAATGCGCCGTGGGGCTTCTCTTCATGAGAAACGGGGCCATGAGTACAAGGTTATTCACACGCCAGCCCACCGCTCTCCAGCGGTCATCGATAGTCTCCCAGGGCCTGAGAGAAGGATCGCCATAGGTAACCAAGCTGCGGGTGCCTTAGCCGAGCAAGCTCTCCTCCTCCACCCTCAGGCCTCTCCTGCGGTGTACCAAGAAGTTAGCGATGATCTTGATAAATTAGTGTTCGCGGCCAAGGTCATGGCCAAAGTTTTGTGTGTTTTCCCCGTCGAGAAATTCGAGCGGCCCCAGTGGGCCGAGAGGTAAATTTTTACGGACTGGAGGCTGGCACCACTGGGAAAATCTCGATGGGGGCCGTGCCAGGTGTCTGCGATGTCTTCAGTTTAGTAGTGACCCTGACAGCCTGCCTGAACTTGGCTGCCGAGGGCCGAATCGGACCTGGAAGGGTGTTCTGGATTTAACCAAGGGCCACACGCTTGCGCACACGTTCGTTACGCGCAAGCAGAAAGTATCTAGCATTATGTTTTGTACCACGTGCGGGGCTTACACGTCCCGCCGACGCTTCAAGCTTGGTCAAGAATGTATCGGCAAGAAGCTGCCAGGGGCTAAGACGACCCTCCCTAGGATCATGTCTGGCCTCCACCCTCACTTTAGGAACGAGGAGGATCGCGTTTCGTCCACTTCTCGAAGAGGAGCGAACTATATTTGTTATGCTGCCACCACTCCGCCTCCCACAGAGGTCTCTCGGCCTGCCTTCGGGATGGAGGGTCTGGTGCAGACGCCTGGGATGCTAGCGGTTCTGGCTCGCATCCAGGCGCGTGAACTGGCGCGCGGGAGAACCCCACAGGCGCCAGACGGCCATTTCTCTCTGCAGCAGCCCGGCACTGTCGCCCCAGAGCCCCAAGAGGAAGTTGGACTTGAGTCGGATAGTTCAGATTGACTTTCGGTGGCGCAGGGCCGCCCTTCAGTTGTCGTTTGATTGCGCGGCCCGATGCGACTGACCCTTTTGGCAGGCATCCGTGCTAAACCCCACATCCGGGGCGAGTCTGGCAGCCGTCCTGGCGCTGTTTGCACCAGGGGTTTCTGGCCTCGTCGTCCGTGCGTGGGTGGTCGAGTTTCCCCTGTGGCGAGGGTTCGCCGTCTCGTTCTTTTCTCTGCACGGCCCGATGCGGCTGACCCTTTTGGCAGGCATCCGTGCTCTACCCCACATCTGGGGCGAGTCCGACGGTCGTCCTGGCGCTGGCTGCACCAGGGACTGTGGGCTCGTCGTCCTTTTGTGGGTGGTCGAATCTTTTTCTTTGATTTGGATTGTGTGCGGTCTCGTTGTGCGTGCGTCCGTCGTGCACGCGTGTCAGGCACCCCACTTCTGGGGGAAGGAGCATGCACACCTAGGGTGCGCGTCTTCATGGTCCGAGCACGGGGGTGACTTCATCCTGACAGTGGCTCGGCTGATGTTGCTGCGGCCCTTGAGCTTCGGTTCTGGGCCCCAACATCTTTTGTTGGCGTTGGGCGCGCGTCAGCGTGCAGGCTGCCTCCTCGGTTCGGCCCGCTGCCGAGGTCGTAGCCTTACGCCAGCAGATCCACACGGCCATCGCCCCATCTGAGGACGAGGCCCCGCTCGCTAGGCCGACGGATGTGGTTTCTGGATCTGATTGTGAGGACTGTGCTTAACCTAACAAGTAGGTCAGCCAAGCACGGTCTTGTTTGTCGCACATCTTGTGCGCATGTCGGCTAACTGTCGCCGCCCTCGGTCCTGCCCACTGGCTCGCAGAGGAAAAATCCTCGGGCGGTGGCCTGACCGCGGCGCGTCTCGCCAGCTGCGCTATCTAGCGCCAGAGAGCGGGGCGCCAGTGCGCCGCCGGGCCGGGGAGGAGGGGGGGGCGCGACACTCAAGCAGCGGCGAAGCGTTCTGGCCCGCCTATAGGCCTACCAAGCAATGCTCTGAGAACCTGTTCTTGCGGTTCCCACGAAATGTTCTCAGACCATTTCTGGCGGTTGACACATCAGGTTTTAGGTTATAAAAGCATTGTCTTTGTTTTTGGAGCATTTTTGGGTTTCTAGGAACACTTCGTGGTAGGACTATGGGCCTGCCGGGACGGTCGGTCCCTGCTCAAGAAGGGTTTCCCCCGCTCTCCGTTGGCTGGGGCGGGCCCCAGGCTGGCCGGGGCCGGGTGTGCGGGGGCTTGCTGCGACACGCGGGTCCTGGTCCCAGGGGCTCTCTCCAGGAGCGGCGATCCTCATCCTGCGAGCCGTTTTTTGACCCAGACCCCCTCGGGCTGCGAAAGAAACGCGACGGGAGGATTGTCACTGTTTTCAACCACTGGGGGCCCTTTCAGGGCCCCCGGGACCGTCCAAGAACGACTCAGGATGAAAAGCTGGTCCTGGGGAAGGGGACCAGTCGACGCTGTCCAAGAATCACGACGAAAGGGGTCTGGGTCCTGCGGGTCGTTTTCTGACGGCCCCGGGGCCCACTCGAGGGCCCCATGTGGGGTCTGGGGCCGGGAAGCGGCAGCAGACCTCGGCGACCTTTCTCCAGCAGGACCCGTGACCAATTCTCCGACGTTGTGTTTTTTTTTCATTGCGTGGACCTCCAGAGGTCCCCAGACATGATCGCGTCTTGAAAAAAAGGACGGACTGTTTTTCTCGATTTTCGGCCCCGGGGGGCCCTCGGTGGGCTTCGGGACCATAAAAAACAACCCAGGACGAAAAACCGGTCCCGGGGAAAGGGTCGGGACTTCCAGGGACGCCGTCCTGAAAAGATCACAACGTCGCATGTCTGGGTCTAAAGGATGGGTCTAATGAGACCTGTTCTCTCGGCCCTGCTTTTCGTCCGGAGCCACTTTTCGTCGGTCCCGGGGCCTGGTGCATGAGGGCCGCCAGAGGCCGACAGGAGTCAAGCACCTCCCTTGCGCCTTCAGGACGGCGGGGGCGTTCCCAGGGCCGCCGCGGGCGACGCTGGGGCGGTGGCCAACGGCGCGCCCAAGGAGAAGAAGGACGGGTGGTCGTCGTCCCCGTCGTGGAAAAGTTGCGACGGGAGGTTCCTGAACGTTTCCGTCCTCCAGAGGCCCTCAACCTGGCCCCAGGGCCGTCAAGCATTGAATTGGGGATGAGAAACTGTGCTGGGGAGCGGGTCTGACCCTCCGGGAACGGTTCTACGCCTCCAGCAAACAAAGTCACGACATCGGAGGTTTGGGTCTCTAGTTCGGAGGTTCTTGGGTAGTCCCGAGGGCTCTCATCGCGACGGCTGCGCGCGGCTCGAAATATTGGACGGGATGGATCCTGGGAGGAGTTCTGGGATATCGATTTAAAACCGATGTGGGCGGATCGCCATGAAGAAACAGAAGAACTGTCCCGAACGAGCGGGCCCTCCAGACCAGCCCTGGGGCCTTCCCGGGGTTCCGTTTTTGCGCAGGGAAAAACGCCGTGTCGTCGCTCGTCGCTGTCGTCGGCTTACGGCCCGGAATGCAGCAGCGGGAAGCAGGAGTGCCCAGGAGCGCCCAGCAGGGGCCGGTGTTGCCCCTGGCCCCGGGTCGGGGACTGCGGCCCGCAGGCGCGCCGTCTTGCGGCGCCTGCAGGCCCGCCGTCGAAGCTGTGCCCAGGAGGGGCCCGGGGGATCCCGAGCCCGTTTCTCCGAGGATCCCGCTCTTTCGTGGCGGGGTGGCTGGCGGCGACGACGGCGACAACGTCTCGAAGGTGTCTGGGCGGTGCCCGGGGGGGTCCCGTCGCCGCGGCCGCACGCACCTCGAACTAGTAATTAGGCGGGATGGACCCCAAGGCGGGGTCTGGGCACTGATTTCGAGCGATTGCTGGTCGGAGGACGGCGGCGGGCGGCGGCGACGACGACGACGACAGCGACGAGCGACGAAATGCAACGACGACTTCCGCCCTGACCTCTTCCCGTGGGGTGCGCCGCCGAAGCTGGAACGACGGCGAGCAGAATCTGCAGGGCTTGGGTGAGTCTCTTGTCTCTTCCGGGCCTTTCATGGACCTGCTCCGCACTGCGCCACAGAGAGGAGAGGAGGGGCGGGGGCGACGGCGAAGCCGTCATCCTGCAACCAGGCCTGGGTCAAACATGAACCCAGCGTGATTCAAATAAGGGGCGCAGTGAATTGCATTGAGGGGAGCCATCGAATGCAAACCAAATTACAGCGTAGCAGTGCGTAGCCTAGCACCGCCTATCACATCGCGGCGTGGTAGTACCATATAGCATTGAACCGAATGGCACAGCATAGCGTTGCATGTCGGAGCACTGCAAAGCTCCGCAGCCTAGCGTGGAATGGCGCCGCACTGAATTGCATGGCATAGCGTGGCAAATGGGTCGTATTGGACAGCAGCGCGCTGCTCGACGCAGCGCAGTACAACACGCATGGTATTGGATACAAGTTATGGGTATACTATCGCATATTATTATCACCATCGTGATCATCAGCATTGTCAACATCACCATAACCAGCATTCGAATCATCAGTACCATGATTAGGCATCGTCAGCATCAGGGTTTTCAGCATCATCGTTACCCGTACCACCATCATCATGATCCTCATCATTATCAACAGCACCCCCGTCATCATCAATATCGTCCTCTGTATCATAGCCGTCATTACCATTATCGTTATCATGGTCATCGGCATCATCCGCATTCTCATCGCAAACATCATCATTATCATCAGATGTGCTACCATGATCATCCACATCACCAGCCATCATCATTATTTTGATCAGACTCCTCAGAATCATCCTCATTATTGCCATCTTCATCGCTATCATCATATTTCTCATCATTTCCATGATTCGCAACACCATCATTTCCAGCATGCGCATCATTATCATCGTCATCACCATCGTGACCACCACTACCATCAGCACCATCATCATCACCGTCGCCATCCTTATATCTACCCTTAGCTTCATCATCGTCAGTGGCACCATCACTAACCTCATCACTACCATCACCATTCTAATCGTCACCCTCATCATTATTTGTACCATCGCCGCCATTACCATGATCACGGTCATCGTCATGTGCATCGTCACCATCACCATAATCATCAACATCATTATTGCCATCCTCATGTTCATTTTCATTGCATCGCCAGCGCTAGCATCACTCATGTAGCAAGAATTCCTTCACCATCATCATTGCCATCCCCAGCATCATCATCAGCATCAACACCATTATCCTCAGTAGTACCATCCGCATCATTGTAAACATTACCATTCAATTGTGCATCATGATCACCACCAGATCCAGCCATAATCTTTCTCTGTCCATTGTCACCACCGCTGTCGGCATCATCGCTGGCATCATCCATCCCATCATCACGATCATCACCACCACTCCAATCATCGTCACCATCAGCATGGCAATCATCATCATCATCACCTCCACCATCATATTCATCACCAGCTGCATTGCTATTACATATATGCTTATCATTATCATATGTATCATCATTATTCTTGTGTTGTCGATGGACCCCTGTGGCTCAAAGGGGAGGTGGCAGGTACAACTCCGGAGTGCCAGCTCCGTAGGCTGGCCCACTGCACCAAAAATTTGCACTGCATCGGGAAGACAGCGATTTCTGCCAGCCCATCTCGATGAGTTCGATGAGTCCGGCTCGGAAATATACGTGTGTATATATATATATATATATACACATCTATATCTTCGGTCAGGTGGCGCTGACGGATGTCTTGGCAGCTTGCAGTACTCCGCCTGGATTCGGCTCGAGGTCATCAGAATCACGAGCGGCGCAGGGAAGCAGACGACCTGCTGGTCGAGGAGGTCACATTGGGAGGAGAAGACGCTCCATCGCGGCGCGAGGCATTCGAGGAGGATCGCCGCGAAGCGCAGAGAGCACTCCACGAAATGATGCAATTGGTAATTCAGACGCAAAACGACATGCAGCGAAGACAAAACGAATTTTGACGTTAGATGCTCCAGACCTTGCACACCATGGCTAAGAAATTCCAGGTAGTTCCCCAAGCCGCATGTACAGGTTTAGCAGTGCCAAGAGGGACTGGGGCACACGATGCCGCCCCGCCGCCGCCTCCGCCCGCTGCGCCCGCGATCGCGTTTGGCACCGCAAGGCAGCAGCGGGAAAAGCGCCGCGTCCAGGAGATCCCCGACGCTGCCTGCAAATAATCAGATAAGAGGATCTTCGACTTCAAGTAGTCCCCGTCGAAGTGCATGCGTCCCAAGCAGGCATTGCAGTAGGCGCGCGAGGACGCAGCTATTCTCGAGTCGCCAAACATCGACAAACATCAGAATGAGGTGAGAGCAGTAAAATCATGTTCCACGGTTGTAGAGGTGGACGACTTCTTGGAGGAGCCCTGCGAAGCGGGTTTCACTGCGCAGGTTGGGGTGCCTAAAGGCGCCACAGTCACAGAGGCAATGCGGCTTGTGCACCGGGGCATGTGGTTCTTCCTCAGGAATTCAATGCCCAGGGCTTGTCCAAATCTGAAGCGACGTTCCGGGCAGGCGTCTCCAAGTCTGAGTTCCAAATCATGGCGCATGGCGTTAGTGTCAGCTCGACAGAAGGCCGCGATACACAGCTTGGCCTAGAAACTCCTCGCTCGACGCCGGTGGAATGGACCCGTAGAATGCCGATGGAAGTGCGAAGCCCTCTACGCCAAGATGGCGGACCGCATCCACAATGCAGATCCAATACATGGAGGAGAACGTGGAAAATGAAGCAGGAGAAAAAGGGGAAGAGAGAAACATGATGCATTGTAGGGCGAGCCCGAGGACTTGTTTGCACGTGGAGGACAAGTTGGAGCAAGAAGGCCTCGTCGTCCCTGATGCGAGCATGGATCGCGACTAAGCGCCGGGGGCCATCAAAGATGCGCCCGCTGCTTTTACTCCGCCCCGTAAGCCACGGGGGCCGAAGAAACCTGAAAGCGAAACGCCCTCGGAGGAAGCTCCTGGGCAGCAGCAATCCCTTCGCAAACCGTGGGGGGCTCGCCGCGGCAACGGGCCGAGCTAGTTCGCCTCCCGCGCTGGGGCCAGTTCGTGGAAGGCCAGACCAGGAGGTGGGAAAAGCGAGGACCCAAAAGGAAAGGCTGTGCCGGGCTATGGACAGAGCAACGAGACCAAAGGATAATTGAAACATGCGAGCTTTAGCAACAAAGGCAAGACAGGCAAATGAAACGATGCAAAAGGTGGAGCACGTGGGCCACGGAGGACAGGCGAAGACAACAAGTGTTGAAGGGAAAGGGCGGGACGGGAACGCCGGATGGGGCGAGCGGTTTAAAAGCATGGTGAGGGGGGGCAGCTCTCATGGATTAGCTGTCGGGCTGTCCATCATGTTGCGCAGCGCCATGATCTGGAGCAGCTTCTCGTGAGACCGTTTGAATCAAAGCGTGGCCCTTCGAGCGCGGTTTCCTCTGCCTGTGGCGCGGCTTCGGTTTCACTTTCGCCATGGGCACGCTTTCATGTCCACCAGGCTCCCCAATCAGAGTAGCATCCGTGCCGACATCGCGCCATGCAAAAATTAGTTGCAGTGTCGCTGCTGTTTCCCAGAGTCGCGCGACAGACAACTACTCGTGGCCCCGCCCAGAAATTCGGTAGCCCCGCGTTCCGTCGCACACCGGTGTGGCCGGCGCCTGTGTGCGTTTGCTTCACTGCGGAGCATTTTGCTCAGTGCATGTGCACTCCACGCATCGTGTGTAATTTGCCGTGTTCCGTTGCCCCGGACATCGCTGTCGCCGGCTGACCTTTGTCGCGCGGCCGCCGACCAAAAATGTTCCGTCGCACACATGCCACTTGGACTCCGCGCCTGGTCATGTTGCTTGCGAAGAGTCGATGGGCGCATGTAGATCTGCGCAGAGGAGTGCAGAGCACGCGCGCAGAGCGTGCGACATGTTTGCCCTCCTTCGCCCGGTTTTTCGCTGGCTGCGCCAGATGAGCTCTGCGCGGTTAAGCATGTTGGGGACCTGGGATGCACGTCGATTCCTCGTGACGATGATGCGCTGATCGACGCGGAGATTTTTG